GTGTGTGTGTGTGTGTGTGTGTGTGTGTGTGTGTGTGTGTGTGTGTGTGTGTGTGTGTGTGTGTGTGAAGTCCAGCGTTGTTTGCAGCCCCCTCGGGGGAGTTGGGAGGGCCAGGACTTCTTTTAATATTTTTGGTACAGAGATTGTTTTTCATTACACTCAAACCCAATCAGTTTCTCTTGCAATTGTTGTGGTGATTGGAGAAGAACTTGTGCACACGCTGTAGCCTTTGCATCCCTCCGGGACAAGGTTTCCAATTCCCCATCGCTGCTGGGATCCCCAGTCTGAAATCTGAGGGAAAGGGAAGGCAGACCGTCCAGACCTGAGAAGAGCCCCTAACCTAGTTCAAGGTGGAAAAGTTTCCTAGCCATGAAGTCACTCCAGGTTTGGACAGTCAGTTCCACAAATAAAATAAACAAAATGAACCATGAGTACTATGGAAAGTATTTTAATAGGTCGCCTTCTTAACAATACTTAACAGCTATTAAAATAATCTTTAAAAAAAAGCTACACCACTTTTGTTACTTTCATCCCTTCAGTTTTATATAGATGGTGAGAAATCTAAACACAATACGGGATTTGTTTTCTGTTATTTTCTGATCACATTTTTTAAATTCCTTTTCAATTTCTAGGTTTACCGGTTATATTTTAAGGCATACCATGCGTATAAAATTAGTACCTTTCGGGTTTATTGAAAAAAAAAACAGGTGACTTTTTCCACTTTGAAATTTATTTAACTCAGTATTCAACGAACGCATCCTTAGGAATTTTCTTTAGCAGAAAGGCTTTTTAGTAAACTATATACACAATTCCCTCGTAACGCCTAAAATAAAAATTAATTCACAATGCATTTACAAGAAATCATATAAAAACAAACAAAACAAAAAATAAAAATAAAGGTACAATAAAGTTTTACAAAACCAAGAATAATGTTGCAGTCGGGAAAAAAGTTTTATAAATAAACGAACAAATAAAACCCCCGCAATAACATCTACAAAAACTTTTACGTGTGGTTTTGGATTTGTCTTAGTACATGTGTAATAAATGAGAACTGTTTCCCCATCAACTTTGTCTTAATTAGGCAATAAAAAGCCTACACAAGAAGCGATCCAAGGAAGAAGCGGGTAACGCTTCTGCGGTATAAAAGTTGGCATCGCCTAGATCTTTGTGTGATTATTCTTATTTTTTTTTGTCTTTTTGTGATTTTTTTCTCTTTAGCAAATAAAACGCTCTATGCCTCGTGGATGAATGATAAATACTGTACAAAAGTCTCAATAAAACACAGAAGTTCAGTCTAAAACGCAAAAACTAGTTTCAGAAACTAGTCCTAAAAAAGGTAATTAGAGCAATCATTACCTTTTTTCTCATTATTAATTATTATTTATTATTATTATTATTATTACAAGAACATCCACACATTTTCTGTACAAAAAGGGAGCCGGCAGGGTGTGTGCGCTGGGGAGGGAAGTGGTGGTGGCGGCCAGGCAGACAGAGGTACCGTTCAGCCGGGTTCAATGCAAGTTTCTGTCCCTCTCCTTCCCTCCTGTCTCAGATATGTGTCAAGGGGACCGTGCCATTGACCCCCGTGCTGGCGCTCTGGTAATGCTGGGGCAGGGAGTGAAGCCGGCTCTGCGCCGCAGCCGGGTCCCCTCCTTCTCCGGCCGGTAAGTACATACTGATCATCTCCCTCAGGTCCCCGGGGCACGGAGCCCGTGAGTGCGAGGTGACAGGCGGGCTCACGCTGGGCTCCGACTTGACCAGCGAGCCCAAGGCGCCCAGAGCTCCGGAGGAAGCCGCCGCCGCGGCAGCGGCCGCCGCGGCCGCCGCGGCCGAGTTCTGGTGGGGCTGGGCGCCGTAGGAGATGGCCCCGTAGCCCGAGGGCGAGGCGCTCATGTAGCCCTGCGAGTTGGAGATGGGGCTGTACTGCAGCGCACTCATGTCGTAGCGGTGCATGGGCTGCGGGTTGTGCGGGTGCGGATGGTGCGGGTGCGGGTGGTGCGGGTGCCCGCCGCTGCCCGGGTGCTGCCCGTAGGCGAGCTGCGCCTCCTGCATCATCGCTGCAGCCGCCGCCGCCGCCGCCACCGAGCCCGGGTAGGCGCCGTTGGCCCAGCCGTTCATGTGCGCGTACCCCCCGCTGGCCGTGCCGCCGGGACTCTCCAGCCGCTGGCCGACCCCGGCGGGGCTCATCCCGACTCCCATGCCCACCCCGACCCCGGCGGGGCCTCCCCCTGCCGAGCCGGCGCTGAGCAGCCCCCCGGCCAGCGAGTACTTGTCCTTCTTGAGCAGGGTCTTGGTCTTCCTGCGGGGCCGGTATTTATAATCCGGATGCTCCTTCATGTGCAGCGCCCGAAGCCGCTTCGCTTCGTCGATGAAGGGTCTTTTCTCGGCCTCGGACATGACTTTCCACTCGGCTCCCAGGCGCTTGCTGATCTCCGAGTTGTGCATTTTGGGGTTCTCCTGGGCCATCTTCCGGCGCTGGCCCCGGGACCACACCATGAAGGCGTTCATGGGTCTCTTGACCCGGTCTTGGTTCGCTTTGTTCCCACCGCCGCCGCCGCCGCCTCCTGCTCCGGTCTGGCCCGTTAGGTTAGTGGGGCCCTGGGCTCCGCCGGGGGAGTGCAAGTCCGTTTCCATCATCATGCTGTACATTCAAGTAGCTTTTTATTTTCCACCGGCACCAAGCATAAAAATATCAAACATAGAGAGCCAAGAAGGAAGGGACGAGAAAAGACAAAAAAAAAAAAAGAAAGAGAAAAAAAAAAGAGAGCA